GAGAAGATAGCCTCAGATGACATGATTGCAGATTTACTAACCAAACCCCTAGTGAAGATGAAATTTTTGAAATTTGTAAATCAGTTATGAATGGTTTAGGATTTCATTTTAGTGAGGATGTTGGAATATGAAAATGAATTTCTAAACTATCTGGCAACTTTTATTATTATTCATTATATAACAACTCTGTAAATATTTGACATTTATATTTTATGTATCTATTAATAAAATTAATCTTATGTGAAAGGACGCGCGTTTTTATTTTTGAATATTATCTCTGCAAATACTGCGTAATTTCAACAATTTTCCACATTTTTAGTGCATATTTTCCCATTTTATAGTGCATGTTATAAAGCGCATATTCTTCATTTTTAGTGCATTAAAATCCTTGCCTTGTTTATTATGAATGATAAATCACATTCTGGTGTATGGTATCAAATGGTCGGCCACGCCCGACTATAATTTCTTACTTGTTTTTATAGTAGGATAGGTTTCACAGGCTGCGTACTACCAAGTGTACAACTATACTTGTGTCCTGGAGGTTCTTTGTTTTGCCATTTGACAGATCAGAGAAATAAGTCAACCCTAAGATCTGGAGACATGCTGTTTCTAGAACATATAACTTCTACTTAATTTTAACAAATTCTACAGAAGTTATTATATTGAAGATCCTGAGTCTTGCATGGTGTCCAAATTTGTTGAATCCTGGTAGGATATTTTATGAGGATACATACGAGGCTACAGCATCTTAGCAATTCAACATTATTTATAGCAATTTCCTATTTATTGCCCCTTTTATTGCTGATCATTAAGTCTAAAGGAAATTTTAGTTCCATTCCATTTAAAGGGATGCCGAAATATTTAAAACTTTATGTTTCTGCATATTTTGTAATCAACAAATATTAAAATACTCTTATTTTATATATTATAATGTATAAATTTAGTAGAAAAAACTTAAGCTTCGGGATTTTAAAATCCTAAAATTCCCCGGGATTTTTAAAAATCCCGGTTTTCGGTATTTTAAAATCCCGAAAATCCCTGGTATTAAGATTTCCCGTTTGGCATCCCTACTCCCCAGCAAAAAGTTACAGTGATGATGAATTGGTTCGATTTAGGGGAAACAGGTCCGAGCAAAAAAAGACGTGTAAAAAAAGTAGTATGTACAGTTAATCACAAAAATAAGTATACAGAAATACTGACGATTGGTTTTATTTAAAAAAAGATATTATTTTTTCAAAAAACAAAAAAGTAACACATTTATTTATTAAAAACAATTATGATAATTATTATTCACTACTTTTTTCTTCATAATTTGGTTCTTCGAGTTCTCATTTAAGCTGAAGTTAAAAAGGTGCAAAATTTACGTCACAAAAGTAAGTATACAGATCATTTCAGTATATATTTGGTTTAATGATATTAACAAAATTTATGAAAATTTTACTTGTATTAATATAATTACTTTTTAATAAAATATTTTTTACACAATAACTTGGAAAAAATCTATTTTTAGTTCCGAATCTTGAAATTTGGGCGGATTGGCTCCGGAATTAATTAGTAGAACAGTTTTTTCTCATTTCTACGATTTTTTTTTCCACTTTAGACCCCGGATTTTGGATCTGGTGGTCATTGAACCCTCCATATGATGCATTGGAAACAGAATTTTTAACTTTTGAAAAGAGTTGTTATTTCGAAATTAATGTTATATGCATGGATTTGGCCATTTTGAACGCAGTACGTTCTTAAAAAATCGAAATTTAACTTCGATTTCTTAAGACTTACAACATAAACTTTAAAATTTGGATAATTCTATACATTTCCTTTAATTTAAACAGGTTTTCCAAATACTCCGATTTCCAAAGCATACAATAATGCTACCAATCATATCTTGATATACTCGATACAATAATCATGTTTTATGGATCGGACATTTTATTTGTACTAGCAACAAATTAAGATGTATCCGTGTTCAAAATAGTTCAATTCGTATTCATATCACCAATTGAGCCTGATTTAATATAAAAATCTTACTATTTTGGACAATAATCAATTTCGGAACCGATATGTAGTGTAAGTTATTGACATGGTCACCATTTGACGATTATTGGTAGTATTTAGGAGTGTGTAATGGATGATTGGAACCAAAAAACTTGTTTTAATTAATGGATACTAGTACAAATATTATTAATATCGCATTTTAAGATAAAAATTTTAGGAAATCGCCGTTAAATATCGAATATGAACGCTATACTATGTTAAAAACGGCAATGTTCCGCAATGGTAAAATTTTCATGAATTTTGTTAATATCATTAAGCCAAAATACATATTGAAATTATCTGTATACTTACTTTTGTGACGTAAATTTTGCACCTATTTAACTACAACTTAAATGAGAAATCAAGTAACCAAAATAACCCGGAAAAAAGTAGTGAATAATAATTATCATAATTGTTTTTAATAAATAAATGTGTTAATTTTTTGATTTTTGAAATAAAACCAGTTGTCAGTATTTCTGTATACTTATTTTTGAGATTAACTGTAAATGCATTTGTTCAACTGATAATCAGAGATGGGGGTAGTGCACTAAATTATTAGTTAAATCAATATTTAACTAGCACTAAATATTATTTCAAAAAATATATTTTTCACTAATTTTCAGGAGCTTAGTGGTAGTGAAGCTTATATTTATAGCACTAATATTTTTTAGTGATAATTTTATTTTTTTAACTATAACTCAATTGAGTGATAGTGTAGAAAAAAGCACTACACTCAAATAGTTAAAAATTTTAACAGTCACTAACAAAATGCTTCAATAATTTTCTTTGCACTATTTTTTTTTATAAAAATTAAAGAATTTGTAAGACAATAAATGATTAAATTTTTTAAAAGATACATCTATTAAAATGGAAAATACAGATTTTGTTAGCGATGACAATATGATGGACCCTACATATGCAGTAACCCCAACAACATCGAATACTTAAAAAAGAAATGCTTGAAACACCTAAATTCCAAAACTTTTGCCTTCTTCTGCTCAAGTATAACGATTATTTTCTTTAGCGGAATGGTGAACTCTACTCGGAGAAATAAATTAATTGGTCAATTTTGTATCTCGATTGCCACTTCAGCTGCGTTGCCAGTTGCCAAAATGATGTGGTTACTGGTTTTTTTTAGGCAATAGCTTGGAAACTTTGTAAATAATGAACGTTTTACTCATTAATAATATTAGTCCAATGAGTTTTTAGTTGACTTAATCCATTTCTAGACTGTCCTATTAACTTAAAATTTCAAATGAGTGAAACATTTCTCTGTTTAAAAAAATAGTGCAGGAATATTTTTTGAACTATTAATTTAGTGTAGAAAAAATTATTTCACTAGGCTGTAAAAACAAATATTTTAACTATTTTTAAAATATTTTTAGTTAAAAATTTTAAATATCACTATCACTATTATTGAATGAGGCTTATATTTTTCAATTCATCACTAAATATAAATAAAAGTAGTGAATAATTTTGAACTGCCACTTATTAGTGATAGTTAAAAATTAGTGCACTACCCCCATCTCTACTGATAATGAACTAGTTCATGTTTAGGTGAAACATGCATGCTTTTAAAATTAGTGTGTCTATGGCGAGCATGGGTTCGTAATTGGCATTAAAATGAGTGCTTACAACCAATGAGCATTCGATGATTCAAGCGAATTTTCATTGGTGCATTATATTTATTTTAAAATGCATTATTAAAGGTATTACCAATTAATTATTAATATTTAAATTATTTTTTAGCATGATATTGATAAAAATTATGTATGATAACAAAATAAATCATTAATAACTGATTTTGAATTGCATTAAAATTGATTCAGAAAAAATACCCATTATATTTTAAAATCCGTTAAGCAGTCTATCAACTTGGTTTTTTCCTTGTCTTATTAAGTAAGATTTTAAAATGGACTTGAATTACTAATTTTAATAAATATTAAATACAAAATCCTAATCAAATTAATGTTATTTTTAATATTTATTTTTATAAAATTCACGTTTCCTGTAAATCCTAAGAGAATACCGAATTACAGTTAAATATTACAATTCGTATATTAGAGTTACATGAGTGAATTGGCTGCAATTTTTCCTGTAAATCCTAAGAGAATACCAAATTACAGTTAAATATTACAATTCGTATATTAGAGTTACATGAGTGAATTGGCTGCAATTTTTCATGGGTTCACTTATGACAAATTTATTCACCAATCTGTATTATGGACATTTGCGAAACAACCCTCACTTTTTTCAAAAAAGTTGTTTGACTATTTCGCTGCTAAAATATCTAGGACTAATTAAATGTTTTGGATTTTCAAATAGACTGCTTATTTGGAATGCAGTATGACTTTCCGATTTATATCTATTTATCATATCTAGTTCTGCGGATTCTCTTTGTATTCAGACCTTTAAAAAAGTCATTAATTTTATGAAAATTTTAGGCGCACTGACCATATCACTGACCATAACTGTTCATTTTAGGAAGTAGAAATAATGGTGATTTCACCAAAAATTTAGGACCATACATTTTTAAGGTAGTTGGTAAGTGTGCAAATAATTTTGTTCAGGAAAATTAGGTACTTTTTTTAATATCCTTTGTTAAATAACAAATATGATAAACATTTTGTAATGCAACAAAGTGAATTTTGCGAAGAATTTATCACTCTATCGAGTAGAAATGTCTCTTTTTTTAAATCTATGCAATAATGTTATTAAATCAATCGTGAAGTTTAATGTGCTTACTGTGTAAATAAATTAGTTGGGCAGTGTATTTGAACTAATTGTCAAAGTTTTAATGAAATTTGCCAAAAGCGGAGTATATTGCATTTAAGAAGGCATTTAGAATAATTTGTATTAGCACTATTGTTAGTCATGGAAATTAAATTCACTTTGCACTACTGCAATTAACTTTAACTTTTATATTTCATAATATGTTTATTAAATTAAAATTCTTTATTTTTCAGTAAATGTTCATATGCCGAAGGATCGTGTTACTCAAATGCACCAAGGATATGGATTTGTAGAATTTCTTAGTGAAGATGATGCTGATTACGCTATAAAAATTATGAATATGATAAAGCTATACGGAAAGCCAATACGAGTTAATAAAGCTTCGGCGCACCAAAAGAATTTAGACGTTGGTGCGAACATATTTATCGGAAATTTGGATCCTGAAGTAGACGAAAAACTTTTGTATGATACATTTTCAGCTTTTGGAGTTATATTACAAACACCAAAAATTATGCGAGACCCTGAGACTGGTAATTCTAAGGGGTTTGCCTTTATAAACTTTGCAAGTTTTGAAGCGTCTGACGCTGCAATGGATGCAATGAATGGTCAATATCTTTGTAATAGACCAATATCAGTTTCATATGCATTTAAGAAAGACTCTAAAGGGGAACGTCATGGTTCGGCTGCAGAACGATTATTGGCTGCGCAAAATCCATCTTCACATGCTGATCGACCACATCAACTTTTTGCTGACGCTCCAGTGCCTAGCATGATACCAGTAATGGGTGGTCAATTAATTCCACCACCATTATTAGCGCCTCCTCCTCCACCAAACCCTGGATCTGCGTCGATGATGCCTCCACCACCTCCTGTACCACCACCACAGTCTGCATTCGTACCCCCTCCACCATTACCACCACTAGCAGGAAATCAGTCGTTACCACCCCCCGTGGGAATACCTCCACCACCTAGAATGCTACCTCCAAATTCATGGCCCTCCGCAACACCTGCACCTCCTCCACCAAATTGGAGGCCACCATCTGGGTTCCCTACTGCTCCCTTTCCCCCAACACCCTTTAATGGTGAAACTTCTGTAGGCTACCAATATTGAAAACATACCAACAAAAAAAATTAATATTAAAATAAAAAGAAAATAGTTAATAAAATATGTATGTTTTATGAATATTTTTGTAGCTTTTTGAAAATGGTATTACATATACAATGTATGTATGTATGTATGTATGTATGTATGTATGTATGTATGTATCTATTATGTATGCATGTATGTCGATATTCGACAGAATTGCGACTTTCATAACCCAATAAGCATTTTTGCTGGAATTCAAGTGTAAATCAAATTTAATTCCAGTCAAACATTCAAATTTCAAGTGTTGAAATACACTTGCATTACATTTTAATTCAATAGCATTCTCCAGTGAAAAGGAAACTTGAATTCAAGTCGAACATTATAATGTTATTACAGTTTAATTCAAGGCTTGAATAACATTACAACTCGAATAGAAAAAATGCTTAAATTCAATCTTTGAAATACAGTTTAATTCAAACCTTGAATTTTAATGTAATTCCTATCAAAAAAGTAATTACATTCAAGCACCTATAATATACATATATGTATATATATTTATGTACATATGTATTAGCTGTAGGTGTAACATACTACCACATATCTTAAAATTTAACAGACATAATTAAGACATTTATTAATAATAAATAAGAAATGAATGAGGACAAAATTACATACATATTTATAAATTTTACATGGCAAAAACTTGTATAAAACATAATTTACAGGATCACTCTGTTTCTTTAACATTACAAATAAATCAGCAAAGATCTTGAAAGAACGCATCAACCAGAAATATTTGCATTATTCTATATACATTCGTGCCTATATCAAAGAATATTTTCTACATTAATCCCGTTTTGGGTTGGTTTAATCTGCATACATACCTTTTATTGCAATTGGATTCATTGATTTTTATAAATTCTGACACCAACATTTGCTGTTCTATTTTGTTGCATTGAAGTAAAAATATGAACATTTTTATTATTAATATTTTTAATTTATTTTCAAGTTTGACAAGAAAATTTGGTTTGAAAACATTATTTGACTTTTACTTGAAAATAAAACTGGAATTAAAATTGAATTATAATTAAATTTCAAGCACTTGAATTTATAATTTTTGAGTGCTTATTGGGTAATTATCTATTACATATGGTATTATGTATATACAGAGAGTCAAAATACTTGTTTGCCTTTCCAAAATGAATAAAATTTATTAAAGAAAAATTTCAATGGTAAAATTTTATTTAAAGATGATTGTTCAATAAAATACATGTCGTTAGATTTTAATAGTGTCCGGCTAAACGTTCGGGTTCGGTTACGGAGTTTGGTAAAATGTGAGGTTTGGCCAAAGGTTCAGGGTTCGGCGTAGTTTTGACCAAACGCCGAACTTTCTATAAAATTTTAATTTTTGATACTTTTAAATCATAAGTTGGTTGAACTCAAATAATTATTTAGAGCATCAGTTGTACTCAAGACAACCTCGGAAAATTTCTTAATGCCCCTTCAGACGATCACACTTTACGTACGACAACTCTAATGAAAAAGTAAAATGAAATTCCATAGCTGACTATTTCTTTTTATACCCTACACCACTTTAGTGGGGAGGGTATATTGGATTTGTGCTGATGTTTGTAACATACAAAAATATTCGTCCTAGACCCACCTTAAAGTATACCAATCGGCTTAGAATCGTTTTCTGAGTCTATTAAGCTATGTCCGTCCGTCCGTCTGGCTGGCTGTCCATGTAAACCTTGTGCGCAAGGTACAGGTCGCAATTTTCAAGATAATTGGATGAAATTTGGCACGCACGTTTTATTTCACCCAAGGACGAAGCCTATAGAAAATGGTTAAAATCGGTCCATTATTTCACCTAGCCCCCATAGAACAGAACCCCCCGAAAAGGGCTTCTGAGCTCATAATTATGTTAAATATACAGATATATCGATAAAATACGGCACAACTAAGTTTTTTAGAAGTCTTGATGACCCTGCCAAATTTCATAAAGATCGGGCCCCATTTGACCCTAGCTCCCATACAAAGTCCCCTTCAGAAAATTACTTGAATGTCCCAAATTAACTTATAAACACAAATATCGCGATGAAATTCAGCACAATAAAATATTATGAAAAATATAAATATATTCACAAAATTTGATCGGGCTTGGTCCATATTTGCCCCTAGCCCCCATATAAAGCCTCTTTCAGAAAATTAGTTTTTCATCCATAAATTGCTTAAATGTATCGGAACAAGGGAATATTGAAGATAAATGCTTTATTATGAAAAATAAATCACATTTAATATTCATAAATGGTGTAGGGTATCATATGGTCGGCCACGCCCGACTATACTTTCTTACTTGTTTATATTGCTATTTGTGGTCTTACTTGTCAAAATGTTAATGTTGCCATTTTTTTTTCATTTCTACGCATAAAGCAAAAATTTCTGAGGAATTTGTTGTATTTAATGTGAAAAAGTGTATTTTAAGTGTTTAATATTTTTAAAAATGTTCTAATTTTAAAAAATATAGAATATTCTGTGATTTTTAATATAAATAACAAAATATTTTTGGAAAGCACACTAATAATTGTCATATTTTCATTTAATTATTGGTTCACAATAATAAGATCACATAATTTCTTCATAATTAATAAAAATTATTTAATTTTTAATAAAAATTATTTAATTTATATAAAAAAATTATAAACATTTTGATAAAAAAATTATATTAGATTTACTTTTTGTGTTGTTTAACAACAAATTTTTGTAAATTTTGATTTCGAACAAAAACAAATTGCCTGTGGTTTTTGTAGACGTTTGTTGCACAACAACTCGTGTCGCTACATTATTAATTTACTTTATCCTATTGTTGTATTATTGTTGCTGGGGTTGACATCCCTTGGCCGAATAATTCGGGTCATTCCGGTACGTAGAACCGGCTGTCGGGGAATACTTTATCTTTGATCTTGTTTTTTTTTTTTTTGAATCATTTCAAAAAATGAAGAGAGCCATACGACTGTCAAATTTTCCATCCGTATTTTCTCTCAATGTGTGATGATTTCATTACATCCCAGCGGTAAAAATAGTTAACTTTGATGGTATAATGATAGAGTTTGTTGATAGACTTAAGTGTTTTGGTATAATTATTGATACTGGTTTGAGCTTTGAGGGTCATGTTAACACTGTTATTTCTAGGGTTAATTTTACTTTACGTAAATTATATATGTAGCTTAGATTTGTTGTTGCCTTTTAGTGTTGGAAAGAGAGTTATTCATGCGCTGATAATGTCTATATTTTTGTATGCCTTAGAGGTATTTTCTGGTACCTTTCAATCGAGTTATTAGGTACATACATATATTCCCTTAGAATGTCACAGCATGTTTCGTCTTATGTTTCAGATTTCTTGGGTTTTTCCTTTATGGAATTTATAAAATATATACATTTTTTACACTTTTATAGATGATATAAATTGCAGACTCCAGAGTATTTAATTAGTTTGTTTCAATTCTGTAGATCTACTAGGAATAGACAGCTGAAAATACCTAAACTGACTCCGATATTGGAACGTTGGTTTTGTGTTAGAATGGCGCGAGCTTATAACAAGTTGCATATTTCCTTCGTTTGATTCTGTAGGTATTGTTCAATTGAAATTTTTTGGTGAAATTTCTTTCTGGTTATATTTTTGTATTATTCTTGCACATGATGAGTATTTCATGGTTGGATTTTGTTTGATATTTTTAGATTGTTATTCTGGTTTTTCTTAGAATTTGGCAAATTTATTGAATATCTTGCTGTGTGCTCTTTTATGGTTTGTGATAGTGTCCTGATTTCTTGATTTTTGTATGTTACATTGGTATCAAACTTGTAATTTTTGACATATGATGCGATGTGTTGATGTCTTTTGAAGTTGTGTAGATGCCTGATTGCTCTTCTTGCTTTTTTTCTTATGATGTAGATGGGCAATATGTGAATATTTGTGTTGTGTTCGCATGGATGACTTTTTATTTGACATTTAAAGGGACAATGGTTATTTTTGCTGTATCGTTTTATTATGGTAAAATTTCATGATGTTTCAGTGTTTTCATGTTTCTTAAATAAATTAAATTTTATCTTTAATTGCAACTTTATATTTAATTGTTTTTGTACTCTTTTTTATCCTATGGTAGTGAACTGGGTGGTTGTGGCTTCTGTTTAACTGATCAATATTGTTGTCTTTTTCTTATCATAATTTTAGGATGGGTGGTTTTCAGTGGGAATCACGCTTTGTATGATAGTGGGAAGCTCTGCATTAATTTATTAATAGCAGCTTTTCATTATCTGTGATATATTATGTAGGATCCATATTGTTTGATTGCATTTTGAATGATATTTCAGGCTCTGGTAAACAGTGGTGTATTATACACATGTATATAGGTTTCTTTTGACCGTAACAATGACGACTACTTTTGTTTTGTGATTGATAATTATTTTCAGTAATGCGCGCAAAAGTTATAGCGGTTTAAAATAAAAAAAATTAAAAAATCGTTAAAAATCTAGATTAAGCTATTTTCAAATAAAATAAGTACTAATTAGTAAATATTTATTTATGTTTATGTTAAAATAGTTATCGCAAATTTCATATTTCAGAAAATACACTGATAATTAAAAAATTTGCAATTTCTTTCCAAACTCAAAATTTTGCAAATAAAAAATAATCGAAAAAATTTTCCTAAAATTAGAGTTGATTTGCAATGCATTGCAAAATAAACTAGGTTAATATCTCAATCGGTTTGAAAAATATAAGCATTTAAAGTAGCTTTCTCGAATATTTTTATATCCAGTCAAAGTACAATATTAATATTTTTTTATTTTTGCAAAAATTTTTTTCGCAGCATTTGTAAAAATAATTTTAATTATATGTATGAATTCATAGTGAATGTGTTAAATTGATAAAAATTTTGCTAAATATGTGAATTTATTTTTGATGTGTGGAATTATCTTTAATATTTGATTAATTCTCAGATTGTTTATAGTGAGAGAGTGTCTTGGTCATTGGGAGAGATATTTTTGGTATTATTTTTGCCATAGGATAAGCCATTTCTATTTTTATAGTTTTGATC